GCATGGCAGAGGCCGTCCAGTCTGATAGTGGGCCAAAGCCATGGGAATGGGCTTATCAAACTATTAAATGAGCTGGAATTAACTGTTGGGTTTTATAAATAGGCTTTTGTCAACAGCCCAAAATATATACCATAGGCCAATACTACAGTGCCGCTATAAAAAATGCGGTACCGGTGCCGGGATTTCTAATTGGTCCACCTGGACGTGACTTGGCATTGATTGGGTTTGGAAATCCAGCCCAAACCTACTGGCCAGAAATAAAATCCCAAACCGATATTGGCCCAAAGTGACAGAGTATTAGCTTCTGTCTTGTCATCTAAGCAGGGTCTCTTCCTTGATCTCCCGCGACGGTTGACGATGAAAGCAACAAACTGATCCGACGAGTTTCTCTGCCGGTGATCCAATCTCCAGTCTCATGCTATGCGTGCTTAACAGAAACTCTTCAAGAAAATGGAATCCAAATTATTGAACTTTATTGTTTGGGAATTGTAAAACTAGAAATCAATTGTTAATGGTCTTGGATCTTAGTTCGAAGTACAAAGAGAGCTGAACTGAGATAGAATTCGCAAGAATTGTACAGTGGTGAGAATCTGCACCAGAAAGAGATCCCCTGCAAACTATACAATGTAAAAATAAAAAATAAAAACACACACATAATAATTGCAGTCCAATTCATGTCAGCTTCCCATAATAGAGATAAAAAATAGCAGCAGATAATCTCAAACAAGTCTTGCTTTGCAAAACCAGCATCTTGACACACTCAAAAGTAAAAACAAAGCCTCTTCCTATTTTACTTCCTTTATCTCCTTAACTCAAATGTCATTCTACTCGCAGACAGCAGGCTAAACCTTTTGCTTTTCTTTAACCAGTAGACACCCCGCACGAAGCAAGTTTTCTTCCCTTTCCTCAGCTGGACATTAGCATCATCTTACCCGCGTACTTGTGAAAAACAAAAAAAAACAAAAAAACTTAGAAGCATGTCAGGTAGTAAGCAGCAAACCACTACAGAGGATGAGGCTGAAAACGTGTAAATTCTTCAGCCTCTAACCATAACACCTCCTTTTCTAACCAACCAATTCAAGAAAGATATGTACACATATGTTTGAACAAAAGAATCATGAACAAACTCACAGAAGAACAAACACAAGAACATTAATGCTAATATCACTCTATTTGCTCTCTATACTACCCATAATCCCTAGTGATTTCCAAGAACAGTCCGTGACGACATCTTGGATGATGGCAATACAAACATAACAAAGATGCCAACCTCATCATTCAGGGCTTCTGTCAACTCCTCCATCTCGATGTAACCAATCTTATTTTGATCGAAGAATGCCAGGGCTTTATGCAGATGCTCGTAATTTCCAGCAGAATGCCTTGTGTTTTGCTAATGGCGATATCTTCATTCAACCGGGGGAAAACACGGACAGAACAGGGACAGAGAACCCATGTTGCTTGATACACATAGAAAGACAAATGAACTAGGAAAAAGAAGAAGAACATTGAATTCAAGACCCCCGTTGCTATATCCCTAAATTAACACTTCAAATGCAAAAGGAAGCCCAGATAAATTCAGGAGAAAATGACACGAATCAGTGCTCTGCTCAACATACACACGACCTAAATTACCTCAAAGCCTTTGGAATTTTATGGGGAAAGGGCTGCCTCCAAGGAACTTCAGATTCAGAATTTGACGCTTCCAATAGGGAGGGCGTAGGCCGTAGAGGGAGGGAAATGATTTGTTCTTTGGCTTGGGGTTGTGTGATACGATGATAGCGTAGCAAATCGATGGACAAGAAGTGTCGGACGGGCGAGGGATCGTTCGTTTCTCTTCAACGGAATAAATGGAGGAGGAACACGGTGGCGTTCAGTTGATTATCACAGTCCGTCGGAGCACGAAAGATTTTGGGTAGACGACACATTACTCTTAATGGTGGTTTGGGTCAATTCTTGGTCATAGGGTGATTTAATAAACTTAACCACTTCCACGTCACTTCTACGTGTACCAATAAGAAATGGCGGCACCGGTGCCGCATTCTTACGGGCGGCACTGTAGTATTGGCCATACCCATATTGTCAACAAAAAAGAAGGCCTCCTAAGTGTTCCCAGACTTGGGAAGCTAAATGGGGGCCTTTGTATGACGTTGACGATTTGTAACGAATTCCCCCGAGGAAAGTTAATCGGCTAACTTGAAAATTTGTTAGCAGATACTAACTGATATCCAAGATATATGAACTAGTATCCAAGTACTAAAGTATCGAGAGAGTACATACTAGTATTCAAGGTTTGCTAATTGATATCCACCATGAATCAACTATTATCCCAAATTCACAAACTAATATCTAGACAACACAGAATAGTATCCATAAAGCACATAATTAGTATCCAGATAACACATAAGAGTATCTAGATAACACATAAGAGTATCCATATTGAATACTAGTTGGTTGATTGTGGATATTAGTTGGTATCTGCTATCTGGATAGTAGTTTGTGATGTTTTGAATACTAGTCTGTGTTATCTAGATACTTTAGTAAAATCAACAGATTTGGATACTAGTCCATACATTTTGGATATTAGTTAGGGCAATGTCTATTTTTTACCCAAACCTTTTTCAGATTCTTTTATTTTAACCAAACCTATTGAATTCCTAAAAATTATCCAAACGGTAACTCTCCGTCAACTTTTCTGTTAGTAATGCTGACTAAGTATGACCATAATGAGTTGACTTCCTACGTGACAGTCAGAATACCATCATTTACTATTTTTAATAAAAAGATTATCAAAAAACAAAACAAAATCCCACCCCTCACGTGGACGAAATAAGTAACGGTAACAGAATGAATGCCCAGACTTTGATAAATTATAATACGTTTGGATAATAAATAGAATTTCTATAGGTTTGGTTAAAATAAAAGAATCTGAAAAAGGTTTGGGTAAAAAATAGACATTGCCCTATTAGTTAGTATATACTAACAACTTATGCAGTGAGCAGAATAACTAGGCTGCCCCACCCAAATGCGACATTTTAAAATTCTTTTTCATTATATATAAGTTACATCAATTTTTTTAAAAACACACAAATTTTTAACTATATTTGCTTGCTTGTTTTGCTCTAAACAGATACTTTGTTGTGTTATCTACATAACTGCCAAGGCTAGAAAGTTGGTTAAGTTTAAGTCGAGAATGTAATAAGGCTGGAGCAACGAACGTGGATTAGTTAACCTTGTTTGAGAGAAAATGAATTTATGAGATTACTATATTGCGTAAGGTTTAGGGGTGTCTGTTCGATTTTCGGGTCGGGTAACCGAACCCGAAAGCCACTAACCCGAAAAAACCGAACCTGCCACTGCTTGTAACCCGAAACAAACCCGCATTGGGGTCTTGCGGTTGCGGGTACCCAAACCCGAAAACTGTTCGATTTGCTGGAACCCGAAAACCGAACCTCCTCCTTGAGCACTCCGCCCAACAACACCTGTTGTCTCATTCTTAATTCCAGAATTTCAAATTCTCTTCCATTCCTTCTTCTCCTCGCCTCCACTCCCACAAACACCTGTTATTACTCTTTTGTTCCTTCTCATCCTCACCCCCACTATTGTTCCAACTTCCAACCTCTACCGCCACCTCCCAGTGGCGGAGGCAGAATCTGTAAGTACCTGTGTCCCTTTTCTATAATATAAATATATAAATAAATGAATATTTTATAAATATTTTATAACTTAATAATATCCAATTATACAATTCATTCATAGATATTAAAGAAATACTATACTATACAATCATTATTTTCATAAGCAATCACGATGCGTTTTCAAATTCTTAATGTATCCAACTAAACAATTATTAGCAAATTGGTCTCAATTCGACTTTTAAACTTGTTTTAATATAGTTCAAAGCTGAAAATGTTCTTTTTACACTTGTAGTTGCAACCGGTAGAGTCAAAACTAACTTCAGAAGATAGATAGATCGATTTTTCGATATTCTGAATTTTGTTTATAGTGCGATAACTTGATTTATGTTAGCATTGGAACTTGAAATAACTTGTAGTGTAGTGATAAAATATTTTTATATTACCTAAAAATGATGAATGCAATCCTTAATTTATACATATATGGGCATTTTATTTTTACCCAAAAGTTACATGTGTCCTGGGACACATCCAAGAACCCCTGGCTCCGCCTGTGCCACCTCCTGCTTCATTGTAGCTTTTGCGTCTCTACCACCAGCCTACAACCACGAGAATTGGTCGAATCAACGAAGCTAGGATAAGAATCGACGAAGCCAAGGGAGGAATCGAATATGGGAAACCATAAAACCATATCGGAGAAAGCTTTCGATGCGGCGCCCGATGTACCCAGATGCGCCGCCGACTTGGAAAGCTTCGGTCTCAAACGGAAGCATATGCGTCCCCCGACTTTACCCAGATGCACCGCCCGACGTTACTCAGATGCGCCGCCCGAATCGTGGAGGGAAACCACCACTATACTCACCTCAGTCCTCTGTCGATGCCTTGAAATCGAAAGGTTTGGGAGTTTCAGATGAGATGGGAAAGCCTCGAAGATCAAAGTCGAACTGCAAATCCCAAAAGTGCATAACGCTTCTGAAGGTTGGTATCGGGGTTTTTCGGGTTCTTATCGGGTTTCGGGTTACAACGAAACCGAAACCGACGCAACACACATCTGGATTGAACCCGAAAACCCAAACCCGACAGAACTGCTATCGGTTCGGTTTCGGTTGAACCCGAAAACCCGAAACCGTACCGACACCCCTAGTAAGGTTGCGTCGGCGCTCCCCAACTCCCTCTTCGTGGACGGAGGAGTCACTCTTTTCTTTACTCTCTAGGCGCCGCCTTCACCACCTACCTCGTCTCCCTCGTGAGTCATTGTATCATTGCGGCGGCCGAGTAAACACGATACAATAAAATCAAAATAAATGGCGAGACGATATAACGATATAAAATACCTAGGATACGATATGCTAAGGATGGGGGCAATCTCATGCAGCTAGCTGCCCCTGAAATTATTGGGATCCGATGACTCGAAAATTGTATAATATTATATATAAAAATATTCCATTACACCCCATCCATCCCCAACAATTTCGATCACGGGGTGATGATGAGTTTGACAATTATTAATTATAAACCCACTAATTAATCAATAATTAGTAGCCCCTTGGATCAATCAATCTGATGATGACGACGCTGGATCCGAGTAATTGGAGATTAGGGCTTTAATACGCCGCTCCCTGCCGGCCGGCGGCGTCGACGGCGCCGGCGCCGATGATGATGTGCGGTGGTTGTGATAATAAACTTGGAAGAAACCCGGGTTCTCCTTCTCAAGCTCCGTCCACACCGTCGAGGTGACCGCCGGTTTGATGTTGGCGTGCTTCGACAGAGCTTCCATGCACTCCTCTTTGCTCATCTTCAACACCAGGCACTCCTCTATCAGCCTGTGCACCTGCAATTATCTCTGTTACTTCAGAATTCAGAGTCAGCAGAAATTGAGAGATTGAGAGAGATACGAATCGACTTACCAAGTGTATGTACGACGCGGGAGACTCATCCATGGCTTTCTGAATCGAAGATGATGTGTTTAAGATATAGAGAAGAGTAGAAGATGCCAGAGCCGAGAGGAAAGAAGCGGTGGGTTAGAGAGAGAGGATAATAATAACAACTAGAGATCCTGTCAAAAGAAAAAACAATGGCGGTTGTTCTGCGATTTGTATCAGTGCCCCAAATTTGGAAACTTTTCCGCTATTCGTAAAAAGGCAAAAATAATAATTTATAAAGGTTAAATACCAGCCGAGGTTGCTAACCCGGGTCGATCCGCAGGTTGACCCAAATTTGATTCGATTGTTCCAGTTCATTCAGGGTGGCAATCATCAACTTATAGGATGAAATTAAGTGTGTTTGAATTTTTAATATAGCTTGGATTGATTTACATACTATTATTCTAGTGTAATGTTATATGTTATTACTGTTATTTTAGATAATATTTTATATAATTTATATATGTATGAATAATATAATGACTTTTTTTTTTATATATACGAACGAAATTGAACTAAAAACAATTAGGATATTAATTCTTCATCCAGTTGCTTTGTTAATCAACGAACTAAACCAGATTGACAACCTTAATACCCGATTACCAACCCAATTCCTTGTTTTTCATAGTGAAATTAGGTTGCCCTTGCCCGTGAAAACGTATGCTGAAACTAATAAAATAATATTGATCTTACCAATAAAATAATAATAATAACACCTACTTAGTGATAATAATGCAGGATGATGTCATTAGGCGATGGTGCCACAGACCCACGTGGGAGGAGGCTGCTGATTGGTTGAGACGAGATTAGGGCCGGAGCTTGTTTTAACAAACTACGAACGGAAGCAGGCTATTTCCCTTGTCTCATTGTACAACCCCCACGTGACGCCTGGGCCCACCACATGCCAAATGGGAAAACCAAGCAGTAAACCACTCCGCCCTAGGCCCAATCCCCTTCCTTATTATTCCCATTCTTCATCCGCCCCGAACCTACAAAAAGAACAAATAATCAAGATTTCTACCGTTTGCCTTGGTTAAATGTCACATTTGATCACTGAGATTACTAAATCGTGTTATGTTAAGTCATTATAAAAATTGTAGTCTTTAAAAAGTTATGCGAAATAAAAAAAAATTCATGTCGTTTGGATTTTGGAGCACAAAGTTATGGTTGTCCAAAGTTTGACGAAATCGGAAAAAAGCTCGTTCGGGGTAGCAAACGACATTTTTTGGGACGAAGGCGGGACCAAACCACCTTCGGCATTCTTCGGCTTGCAAGATCTCAAAATGTTATGCGGAATCAAAAAAAATTCGCGACGATCGGATACCCGAACACAAAGATACGTTCGTTTGAAGTTTCCACCTAGGTTAGCATTTTTCAAAAAAAAAAAAAAAAAAAGCAGACTGCATGGTGGGGGTGCGGTCTGCAAAACCGCCCCCCTACCAGTGCGGTTTTCATCGAAAAACGCGCCCCCGGGTGGCGGTTTTCGCCTAAACCGCTGGTACGGGTGTTGGTTTTGCAGAAATGGTGCTATTTTTGGAATTTTTCAGAGTTGGGTGCTATTTTTGGATTTTTTTTAAAACAATGCTATTTTTGGAAAAATCCCCATTTAGTCACTCTCCAGTTAGCCTCCATCCAACTCCGGTCACTCGAGTTACTTTTTTTTTATGAATATCATTGGAATTACTGAAACATGTCACATTTAGTCACTCTCTGTTAGCTTCCCTCCAACTCCGTTAATGAAGTTGGACGAAAACTAACGGGAGAGTGACTAAATGTGACATGTTTCAATAATTTGAGTGACCAAAATTGATATTAAATTTTTCTAGTGACTAAACATGACATAATTTAGCAATGTGAGTGACCAAATGTGACACTTATCCTTTGCCTTGGAGATAATTGGAGATATTGTTTACTATAATTCTATTTTATGTTTTCTTTTATTATATGTTGAACAAGGGAAAGGCTAGTATCAGTGGCGGATTCAGAAAATTTTCACAGGGGTGTCCTCTTAAAAATTAAATTTAATTAAATAATTTGTATATTAAAAATATCATACTTGTATAAATTTTTTATTAAAATTCATTATGTGTTTTCATATTTTGAAAAAATAATATAAATAAACTCCGTGTCTGCACTGTTAAAAAAAATCTACATATCCTACTAGACAATACTTCACAAACTTATCACATATTCGATTTCTAACCTTGTTCTTAATGTAGCTTGAAGTAGAAAAGACTCTTTCAACACTTGCCATGTAACCATAAAATCAATTCAAAATTAAGGGTAGCGTGTACGTAGTTTAATTATTAGGTATTGAAAATAGTTGGGGATAAAGAAATAGCGTTTTACTGTTGCATGATGTTTAAAATAGAATAAAAAATGAGTAGCAACATAATTAGAATATGTTTGATAATAGTAGTGTCCTAGGTTGGAATAACATGGACTACCACTTATATTTTGTTAATCATAAGCAAACTATTATCGAGGGTAGGATAATCATTTTTTCAAATGTTAGGGTGTCCCGGATTACCAATTATATTTTGTATACCCATACGAAACTATTATTGGAGGTTGGATAATCGTTTCCCCAAATTTTAGGGGTGTCCCGGGACACCCCTAGAGGCCCATGTATCCGCCCCTGGCTAGTATGCTAACACTTTTTTTACCATGGTACTAACACTATCTTCAGCCAATATTTTTTTTTTTTGAACAATGGTAACTTTCACTCCATCTGAGCAAGCAAAGAAAAGAGTTCATTACAACAGCGGAGCAATAATATTAGAAACTATAATCCAATCCACTGGTAACGATTCCAATCTAGCTTGACAAGCAACCAATCCGCCAACATGTTCAACCACCTTGGGACGAACTCGATGCGAATCCAAGGCGAAGAGGACAGGATGGAAGTCATACGTGCAAGGGAAGCTTGACAAAGCCAAGGCCAGGAGGCCGGATCCTGATGCAATGCAAGAGTCAGCACTTGACAATCTGAACGAATGCAAGTAGGAACTGGATCTTGCGCTGCAAGCAAGATAGCATTAAGGAGCCCAAATGTCTCAGCTTGAATCGAATGAGAACAAAAGAAAGACTCAGCCTTGCCATCATACACTTGACCCTGAGGATTAGCAATAGTAATCCCATATGCCGCCGGGAGGGATTCTGAGACAAACGAGCCGTCGCAGTGTATCACTTGGGAAGTAGGCGGTGGTTCAATGTTGTGATGGGAACCCCTTGGCTGAGTTAACAAAGGAGGCTGAGTTCATTTTGGGTAGGATGTTCATTGGGTCAGAGCTCAGGACAATAAGGTTTGGAGTTGGGCTTGGGACTTAGGAGAATAGGAGTGAGGCCGGTTGAGATGTGGGTTGGACAATGGACACTTGAGCTAGCTTGGGTTCGGTTCGTTGGAATGCGGTTTCGATTTGGATTTTCAGCGGAAAGAAAAAGAGCGATTCCATTTCGCGAACTCATTCCAAAGGGCCAACTAGAGAGAAGTCTCCCCGCCGTCGCTAAGGGTGTTCAAATGGTTACCATGGTTATAACCAAACCAAATAAGGCTAAATTCCATTAACCATGGAATACAATATCATAACCAAACCGTCCAAACTAATACAACAACCAAATTAACCAAACTAAAGTTTAATCGGTTTGGTTAATTGGTTAACCAGATTAACCAATATAAAATCACATTATCATTGACGATAAAAATTTTCCGGTTAATGCAACAATTCAAAATTTATTGTTTGACCCATCTAGCTCCGGATCGAACAATGATATTTGTTGGTGTGGGGTTGACTCACGATCCGTTCGTCCAATCTCGTCGGGAGGGAGAGAACCTGTGAAAGAGTCGGGGATGCCCCCCGGATTAAGCTCCGACGATCAAGTTAGTATAAGTTTCTGGAGAGAGTTGAGAGAATAAGGTAGAGAGATAAAGTGTAGAGAGATAGTGGAAAGTGGAAAGTGAGGAGAGAGAGAGGAGTTCCCTTCTTTGGAGGGCTTCCAACCCTTATATACCTGTAGCGGGTATCGAGCGTTGGGCATCGCCGATTATGCGCCCTCCTGCTTAGTCTGTGCACTCAGTCCCTTAGTAACACCCCCAACAATTGCCCCCCAAGCTGGTGGTGAGTTTTAACTCATCACTAGCTTATATTTTATTTTATTTTAAATCTTTGTCGGTAATTTTGGGTGGGGCCTATGTACCCCAGTTGCCCCCCAGCTGGTGGCGCGTTTTAGTGACGCGGTGCCAGCTTCTTGCGTCTTGCCCCCCATTAGCGCCATTAACGCTTAGGATAGTAAAATATTTTAAAAATTTAATAATGATGGAGGGATAGAGTACTTAGCTTTATATTGGCAGTGGCGGCAGGAGTAGTTGAAAGGCGGGCGCTGCGCCGTTGAAACAGAACCTGAGTGGTAGCCTGCAGGTTGTTCTTTCGAACTGGGCGCGAATAGTGCTGGACTATTGCTAATATTTTGTTCTTTCGAACCGTGTCCTTTTGCGCGAATAGTGCTGGACTATTGCTAAGTTTTGTTCCGTGGAACTGAGCGCAGAGTGCTGGACTCATACTAATTTTTTGTTCTTTCGAACTGATTGGGCGCGAATAGTGCTGGACTATTGCTAAGTTTTGTTCCGTGGAACTGAGCGCAGAGTGCTGGACTCATACTAATTTTTTGTTCTTTCGAACTGATTGGGCGCGAATAGTGCTGGACTATTGCTAAGTTTTGTTCCGTGGAACTGAGCGCAGAGTGCTGGACTCATACTAATTTTTTGTTCTTTCGAACTGATTGGGCGCGAATATTAAAATTCAAACGCCACACCATTGAAGCACAAGGCTCGCTTGTAGCTTGCTGGTAAGGATGCTTGTCTTGTAGAGGGGTCGCGCAGGTTCAAAGGCTGGCGGCGACAATATTTTTTTGAAGAGTTCCGTGTCTATGGAATTCGGGCCGCGAGTTGGGCCTGTGTGGGGCGGAGCATGCTTCGAAGCGGGGTTGGCTGTGTGGGCCGCGGGTATTTGACGAAGCGGGCCGGACGCGATGGGGATCCGCGCGGGACGGACTGAACGCGCGTCCGACTGATGTGGGCCGCGGGTCCTTGACGAAGCGGGCCGCGGGTCCCTGGCGAAGCGGGCCGGAAGTATGAAGGTGGGGCGGACACGGATCCGTGAGTTTGGGGCGCGACTTGGGCTTCATCTACGCGTGGAGTATTGTTGAAATAAGAGTACTGCGCCATAGGGTCACAAGTCGCCGTTGTAGCCTGCTGGTAAGGATGTTTGTCTTGTGGAGGAGTGGCGCGCGTTCGAGGACTGGCAGCGACAACAATTTTTTGAGGCGGGGCGAGACGCGAGTTGGGCCGGGCTGTTGTTGGACTCCGCGTGGGCTCGTTGTGCGGGCCGTGCCTCAAAGTTTGAGGCGGAGCTTGGCGGTTGGTTGATGTTGGGCCGTGAGTAAGTGGGCGGGCCTGATAATAGCTGAAGGCCGAAGCGGCTAGGGCAAAAGGAGGCTGCCGCCATGATAATACTAATAGTTTTTTTTTTTTTTTTTTTTTTTTTTTTTTTTTAGAGCAGTCGCGTTGTGCTGCTCAACCGGCGCTTCATTTGTCCATCTTGTCGCGAGCCTGTCTACGGGGGAGACCGAGGCGCGACTTGAATGATTGCGAAAGCGGAGGGAGTGGCGGCGGGCTCTGGTGTGACGCAAGCGGGGAAGCGGAGGAGGGCCGATGGTTTGAAGCGCCGATTGTTGCTGAGGCGGAGCTCGCGGAAGAGAGCGACGGGGGAGATTTGGCGCGAACAAGCGAGACGGACTGAAGCAGAAATGGTTTGGCGCGGGCGCGCGGTGACCAGCAGAGTATCAGTAGCATGGGTCTTCCGAATTGAAGCGCGAACGGTTTGAATCGATCTCCGGAGTCTGTGAATTCGGCGCTGGTCCGCGCGTTGTCGGCGGAGAAGTGTAGGGTAGCGCGCTCAAGGGGACGATTTCGACGAAGATTTGTGGCATTGGCGGAGCAGAGCTCGCGGCGGAATTGAGGTGGCGATAGGTGGCGCGGCGAAGGAGGCGTCGTCGGCTAGTCGCGCGAGAGAGCCTCTTTTTTTCCAGGCTGGCATCAACTTGTGCAATATTGTCTCGGGAAATACGCCTTTTCCTTCTGACAGAGAGAGAAACTTGCCTTGTCTTTTCACTCTTTCTAGACTGCAGGTCACCAACTGTAGCAAAGCAGTCTGACTCTTGTGAAGCAGGTCGTGATGGCGATTGAAGGGAGCTCCGACCCCGGCCCTGAACATGTCTCCGGCCAGCCAAGTCGCCGGGAACTAACCATTTTTTTTTTATAGCTATCGAGTACTAGCTTGCTCCCCTCTCTTCCTAGGAGAAGAACTTCTCGATCTAGAACTTCCTTTTGCTTCGGCAGCGCAGGCGTCCGCGGCTAGTGAGGATCGTATCCTTGCAAAAGCTCCTAAAACTTTCCCCCCCCCCCTTTTTTTTTTTTTTTTTTTGCTGATCAACAATCACCTTTCCCCTTGTTGATTGAAAATGGCATAGACATGTGGATTGTGGAGGTGCTTTTCCTCGCTTAGTCCCCAGGAAAAGAAGAATATAGAAATTGTAGCACTTTCTTTCGCTCGTCTGGTTCTTGTAGGATTCTGGCGCCTACCCTTGTTCGTGGCCGCTGAAGTGTGATTTTATTGGATCCTCCCTCAGAAATCAGAAGAACAATATCTGTAAGTCAGCCCCACGGTGGGCGCCAATTGTTTGACCCATCTAGCTCCGGATCGAACAATGATATTTGTTGGTGTGGGGTTGACTCACGATCCGTTCGTCCAATCTCGTCGGGAGGGAGAGAACCTGTGAAAGAGTCGGGGATGCCCCCCGGATTAAGCTCCGACGATCAAGTTAGTATAAGTTTCTGGAGAGAGTTGAGAGAATAAGGTAGAGAGATAAAGTGTAGAGAGATAGTGGAAAGTGGAAAGTGAGGAGAGAGAGAGGAGTCCCCTTCTTTGGAGGGCTTCCAACCCTTATATACCTGTAGCGGGTATCGAGCGTTGGGCATCGCCGATTATGCGCCCTCCTGCTTAGTCTGTGCACTCAGTCCCTTAGTAACACCCCCAACATTTATATAATGAATAAAACATAACAATTAACACGTAGTTATAGTTGACCCTTAACAAAAATACATGCAACTAAGACAATTATCTTACGATTAGTATAGAAGTATTCACCTAACAAAAATTTATGACAATGGTATGGGTTAATGAATTGTTGTGTTTGTGTAAATTGACTTAGTCTCTTAGCAATTATCATAGGCTGGAAATAACTTTCCTTTCAAGTTTTCATCCATCATAATGTATGAAATTTATCTAAATTAGGCGGCCATATGTTGTGGTCTACATTTTACATATACAAATATACACTATATGAGCAATATTGAGCTTTATATTTTATGAGTTTAAAAAGGATGAACGTTAACTCTTGAGTGGTTATGCAAAGTATTAAGTATGTGTATATAATATATGTTAGATATATGACTAATTACTTAACTGGTTAATTTGGTTTGACTGGTTAGGAGTGTCTGAAACCAAACCAAACCACCTAAACCAAACAAGCTAAAAACTTTAACCAAACCAAACCAATTATCCAAATTAACCAAACCAAATTATCCAAATAGTACCGGTTAAAATGGTTACCATGGTAACCAGACCGTTTGAACGGGAGCGGATCCCCTCAGTAACCAATACCTCAGTAACCATCAGTAACCCCTTCCCCTGGCCCCCACGTGTCAGCTTTTTTTTTATTTAAAAAAAATACGGAGGGGCACTAAGGTAAAATTGCACCTCTATTTAATGATGTCTCTGACGCGCTGACGCTGACCAGATCACATCAGCGCCTTCTCTCTTCTCAAACAACCTTTAATTTTCCTTCTCTTAATCTTTAACGGACGATTTCTCACTCGTTTTAAGTCGGAATTTAATTTTTTTTGCACAGTTAGATCAGATTAATTGTGCTCTTCAAAATGATATCCACTTTGATATTTTTCAGACATAAAAAAATTTGTCAGTTATTACCAGTCATTACCATATGGTAATGACTAGTATTGACCATACCATATGGTATGAAAAAATTTGGCACATCAATATATATTACGTTATCACCCAATACCATATGGTATAGTGTGGTAATATCAATATATATTTCGTTACCACCCAATACCATATGGTATAGTGTGGTAATATCAACATATGGTAAATCTAACTACCATACAATGCCAACATAGTAGAACATGGTTAATCGAATGAACACAAATTAATTGTAATTACCATACAATACCACATGGTATGAGAAGTTAAAACCATATAAAAATAATATAAATCTAATTACAACCCTTTTACGACCATAGTAAAACACGATATCCATAAAAATACATTTCGTTACCACACTTTACCATATGGTATACACACATTACCATATGGTATATACACTTTACCATATGGTATAGACACTTTACCATATGGTATATACACATTACCATATGGTATAGACACATTATCATATGGTATATACAAATTACCATATGGTATAGTGTGGTATATACACATTACCATATGGTAATGTGTCAATACCATATGGTATCGACACATTACCATATGGTATAGTGTGGTAATCTCAATATATATTCTCAAAGAAGGGGAAACAGAAGGAGGAAGAGGAAAAAAAACTTGTCTTCTGTCTCCTGTCATTTACTCCTCCGCAATGAAGAACACCGAATGCAAAAAGAAAGAAAAAGAGGAAGAAGATCGGGATTAATTCACAAACAAATACTAAAACACAAAAGATGCAAACTCAACTCACCTAGATCTGTCCCCTCTTTGACAATATGGAGCATCATCGATTTTGAGGCCGATAAAAGAAAAAAACAGAAGGAAGGAGCAGCTTGAGAGTAGAAGGATTTGGAGCCTCACCGAATTTGAAGTGGGAGGTTGCAATTTATTCATCGATTGTTGGAGAAAAAAATGAAGAACAAGAGAAGAAATGAGATTTAGATCTGGAAAAAGAATTTTGGAAGAGATAAAGGAAGAAAGAGAAAAGAGAGAGGAAGAGAAAAGTCTGCTTTTTCTCTTTCCTCCATTAAAAGACAACACATATAAATGCTGAAAAAAATAAAAAAAAGGAAAGAAATCAAATTTCAAAAATCGGACAAAAATGCCCCTCCTCACTCCACGTGCAGCCCAACAATATAATAATGTCATCCCTAGATCTACGGTCCGAATTTAATACTGATAGGTCAGTAACCAATGGTTACTGACCCTATCTGCTGCCCGTTTGAACACCCCTAGCCGCCGCTGGGCTTAACTGAGTTTAGGTAATCGGTTGCCGAATTGGATTTTATTACAGCTCACAGAACGACAAAGAACGGCTCCGACCTCCCGCACACCAACTCTCAAGCCATGGCTATAGCCGCCACCATTTCGCTCTCTGTCTCTCCGACGACTCGCCATTCCGTCGCCGCCGCTTTCAACCCCTTCCGATCCTCTTCCTCCACAAGAGTTTCCGTTTCCTTCTCCCCCGCCCTCCGGATAACCTCTCTCCGATCAAATATCCCATTTCGAAACCCTAGCTTCCGCGTTTCGGCTACTTCGATGAGCATCCAAGCTCCCCAGCAAACATCCTCGACTTCATTCCTCGATCGAAGAGAGAGCGGCGTCCTCCACTTCGTCAAGTACCACGGCCTCGGCAATGACTTCATCCTGGTAAAATCTCTTCTCCTGCCGCGATTCTCTGTTTTGGATTCGCTACATAATATGATGAACTGTTGTTGGGAGCTCTTCTGTTTCTGTGAACAGCTCGACATTTGAATCAGTTTTGTTTAATTGTTTGTGACTGATTATCCGGAAAATTCAATCAGGTGGACAATAGGGATTCTACTGAACCTCGAATTAGTCCGGAGCAAGCTAAGAAATTGTGCGACAGGAACTTCGGCATTGGCGCGGATGGAGTGATCTTTGCCCTGCCGGGGACCAATGACACTGATTACACCATGAGGATCTTTAACTCTGATGGTAGTGAACCTGAAATGTGTGGCAATGGAGTACGGTGCTTCGCCAGGTTCATTGCTGAGTTGGAGAATTTACATGGGAACCACAGCTTTAAAGTACATACGGGTGCTGGCCTGATTGTTCCAGAAATTCAAGGTGATGGGAAGGTGAGGGTTGATATGGGCGAGCCAATACTGAAAGCAGCTGATGTACCAACTGGACTTCCAGCAAATAAACAAGAAGCTGTTGTTAAATCGGAACTGGACGTGGATGGAGTAACGTGGAATGTGACTTGTGTCAGCATGGGAAACCCTCATTGTGTGACTTTTGGGACCATAGAAAACAAGGTAGGCACACTTCAGCTTGTTGTTTTAATGCATATAGACTTCTTCAATGGAAATAACCTATCGGATGGGTTTTATTGCTGAAATCTTTTGGATGATATGAGAGGGCCCTCTTTGCATCTTACATCATAAGTCGTGGGAAAGATTTCGGAACAATGATATTGGTGCTGTCCATATCTATTTATGTTTCTTCACCTGTAGGCTGTAGTCCAAAGTGGAACTTCGGTTATATTCATTACTTTGTCTTGTGCTGTTGTCAACCAGGGGCTATTGGTTGATGAGCTAAATTTGGCTGAAATCGGCCCTAAATTTGAGCATCATGTTATGTTTCCTGCACGAACAAATACAGGTTAGACTTTTCCTCTGCTCTCTGGTGTTGCACTGCATTGATTCTTCCCTAACCGTCACCTGAACTTGTCCCAAAATGTGTTGTTGCTCCCCAAATATACTTCCACAGTATAAATGGCAGATATGGGTGAAGAAAAGAGTCTTGGGTTGAATGGCGTGGTTTGAGACATTCTTATCTACTACGATTTTCAGCATGTGGACCTCTTCTTTGTGCTGCTGCGTTTTAGTCATATTCATACTGGTAACTTGATGTTATTTGATATTTGGTTGGACTCGCAGAGTTTGTCCAAGTTTGCTCCCCTTCGCACCTGAAAATGCGTGTCTGGGAACGCGGAGCAGGTTAGCTCAATTGCACCAAATGCAGGAGTTATTGTCACAGGAAAAAAAAATTTGATGCAAAAAGAATTCAGTTTTTACAATCTCAGATATGCCTGATCTAAAACTACGCATAATGTAATTGCAGGAGCAACACTAGCATGTGGAACTGGGGCTTGTGCCACAGTGGTGGCTGCAGTTCTTGAAGGTCGTGCTGGAAGGGTAAGAAAGAAAATTCATGAGCTGGACTGCTTAACTATTCTCTTTCAGTGCAGTTGTTTTGAACTAGTAGTCGTCTCGGTTGCAAATTGTTCTCGTGTTCGGCTAAAAGTTCTTTGTATGAACAGAAATGCACGGTGGATTTGCCTGGAGGGCCGCTGGAGATAGAGTGGAGGGAGGAAGACAACCATATTTACATGACTGGCCCGGCTGAAGTAGTGTTCTACGGTTCTGTGGCACTTTGAAGTTTTTGGCAGATGTTGGCTTCTTCACATGCCCGTTTTTTGTGAAACTGTAAGGTTTCTAATGTGCCTCTCCGATTTGATTTGAAACTGCTGTACCTTGCTGTCCTGCACAATAAGTTTGACATAGCTTCTGATTGTTGTGCGATGGAAACTAATCAAATTTGAGCTCGTATAGTACTCGAATGTACGAGCGACGCCTATAAAAGAAAAAATGTAGGAGCGACATGTCATCTAATTTCTTTTAAAAAAATCTCAAAATACATACGTTATAATTCCCCCCCCCCAATTTACATATGTTTGGGCATTCATTGCGGTAGAGGAGGGCGGTGATGGACGATGGTGAATGTGCGGTGAAGGCCTGACCTGCGTCGAAATTTTAAACGAACGTAACTTTGTGCTCGGTTATCTAATCGTAGTAATTTTTTTTCTGATTCAACATAATTTTTCGAGATCTTGCAAGCCGCAAACTGTCGTGGTCCCGCATCGAATTTTGCGGTTAACTTCAACTGCAAACAGCCCATATCAGCCCATCGCCACCGCACCGCGTGCGGTTTGGGGTTAACCACAAACCGTAATGTGCGGTGAACCGCGGTTAATCGCAACGGCAAGCATGTCCACCGAACAGAAGAAAGAGGCAGAGCCGCTGATTGACCGAGAAGAGGTGAGGGGCAGAGTCGTCGGGAGGAGTTGAGTGGCAAAGACGCTAATTGACGGGAAGAGGTGGGAGGCAGCGAGCTCATTGGCTCGTAGCTCGTCGGGTCGAGCAGAGGAAGTCAGGAAGAGTCTATCCTCCGGCCTTTGTGGCTCGCTGTTGCTGACTGCTGGCTCGCCGCATTGAGCAGAGGGAGAGACGCTGGCGGCAAATCAGCTTGGCTGCTTCCTCGGATTGGGAGGGCGGGACGGTGAGAGAGACAAAGAGTCGACGAGGGTGAGAGTTAGGGGTTTTTTTTTTCCGGTTACAGTCTCAGAATCAGAGGAGGGTCAAGGGAGCCAAGGACAGGGAGATCCGAGACCTGATCCTAGGTAGACGAAGTGGGGAGGAAGGGAAGGGTCGTCGGTTGTGGGCTGAAGGCTAGAGTTGGACGGCTGCTGGGCTGGTGATCTCTAAACTGTCTAATTCGGTTTCAGTGCGGTTACACCGCAAACCGCAAAAGAGATAACATCATCAATCACAACCGCAAAAGAGTTTAACCACAAAACCGCTACCGTTTTCCCAGCCCTAGTCGGATCTTGTGGAGCTTCTCTCCCTTGACTGGATTAGCCTTGGCCAACTGTTCTTTCCCTAGGCTCTTGAAATCGAACTCGTAATTGTCCTGATCCCGATACTGATGCCCTCGGCAGAACTCTACCTCTTATCTGCCGACGTCCGAACCAACAACTTTCGTGGCCGCCCCTCCCTAACAAAGTGAGAACGACAACAACCAAACCAACATGGCAAGATACAACATTTGTTGCCCTTTCTAATTTCTTCTATAGATATACAAATTACGTGGAAATTCAAATATGTATTGATAAGCTTCTTTATTCCTCAAGGAGCGCGCCGGGATCAGCTGCGCCAACATAATTTTTTTTTATTAATTGTGATTATGGGAATTTGATATTTCTTAATAATAGAAAAAAGAAGAATAAACTAGTAATCTCAACTTTTAAATTATAGTAAAATCTAGGACGACAATTAGCCATCCTTGTTTGCCTACCATGGCTTACCGTGGGCTTCCTTTCCCGGATCGAGGTGGGCGTAGTGATTCTATTTGAAGTCCAAATGTCCCGACCTCATTTCGAGCCCAAAACCGCCAAGTCCTCAAAGTACCAGAATCCGCGCTTCATTTGAACTTGAAATTTTCACCTGGGCCCACGTTTTGACGTTTCCCAGAAAAGGCAAGAATGAAGCGCCGCGTGTCCCTCCTAACCTAACGGCTATCTCTACAACACCACCCCCCACTCTTCTGGTAAGACAGACGCCCGGTATTTCTCTTTTTCAAAAATCATCTCTCCCGATCAAAAGCCTACAGTCCCCAAATTTCACTCAACTTCAATTCCAAACAGATCCAAAAGCAACTGGCTCAAAGTTCCTTTCTCCAGATTCACGGAAGCAACTGAATCGGAATCACAGCCTTTCTTGCTACTGAAGTGGAAAGGGAGCGCGCGAGTTCTTCTGATCGCTTCGCCTGGTAGTACCCATCGCAACTGTAAGTATGAACTTTGCACCAGAATTTGAATTCGGAACTCAGATGGGCAATTGTCAGTTGAAATGGATGATCGTAACCTGCCTGATCGAAGCTCTTGTCTCGTTTTGCACAATTTTATTTTCCCTCTCGGTTTAGGTTTCGACTTTGGGGGAGTTGGACGAGGGAGCAAGCGAGAAAAAAAGACGATGTCGATGTCGCTCACGCCTGATCACTTCAGGAAGTCAGGGTTCGGACTCGTACCGTCTCCAGCTCCGTTCCTCACGCCTCGCCCGGAGAGACGCCGGCCGGAATCCAGGAGTTCCGACCTCAGCTCCAACCGTCAGGACCGAGATAAAGAGGTTAACGTCCAGGTCCTTCTTAGATGCAGGTTCGCCTTTGTTCCAATTGCTTCCAATTCTCTGCTGCTTGCTCTTTTAGTAAGCTTGAAGATCAAAATGAAATTTGCTTCTTCGAAAACCCAGGCCGCTAAGTGATGAAGAGCAAAGAGCGAATGTGCCCAGGGTGATCTCTTGCAATGAGCACAGACGAGAAGTCACTGTTCTGCAAAGTGTTGCTAACAAGCAAGTGGATAGGGTTTTTTCGTTTGACAAGGTAAGAGTTTCCCTTTTCGGTTCGCTTCTAGCTTTGATGTGGCTCTTCGGTTTGCTCTTGTATTGAGAGGTCTGAGTCTGTGTCAGGTTTTTGGGCCTAAAGCGCAGCAGAGATCGATTTATGACCAAGCGATTGCGCCCATAGTGAATGAAGTTCTCGATGGTTTCAACTGTACTGTATTTGCTTATGGCCAGACGGGGACAGGCAAAACGTACACAATGGAGGGTGGAATGAGAAATAAGGTAAATTGGAAGTGAAATCTGTGCTTGTATCTCTGATTTTTCTTCACCATGCTTCCTTTCAAGGACTTGATGTTGCTCCTTCACAGGGTGGAGATTTGCCTGCCGAGGCTGGTGTTATCCCAAGAGCTGTTCGCCAAATATTCGATATATTGGAGGCCCAAAATGCAGATTACAGCATGAAAGTGACGTTCCTGGAGCTGTACAATGAAGAAATAACTGATTTGCTGGCTTCAGAAGACAATTCGAGATCCATTGATGATAGGCAAAAGAGACCAGTTTCATTGATGGAAGATGGAAAGGGTTGTGTTGTTTTAAGAGGGCTTGAAGAAGAAGTAGTGTACAGTGCAAATGATATATACACACTCTTAGAACGAGGAGCAGCTAAAAGGCGTACAGCAGACACTTTTTTGAACAAGCACAGCAGGTCTTTCCTACATTCTATTTTACTAGTGTGACTGCATCTAGGAGCAGAGAGAGTCAGCTAAAAGTTTGCTTCTTTCTCATTGCAGTCGGTCCCACTCTGTCTTTTCTATTACTGTCCACATAAAAGAATCAAATATTGGGGAAGAAGAGCTCATTAAATGTGGCAAGCTTAATCTGGTTGATTTGGCTGGATCAGAAAACATCTCGCGTTCTGGGGCGAGAGAGGTACAATTCATATTTACAGTTTCTTGGCATAGTTCAAGTTTCTAAGCAACCTGAACTTCTCCATTATGTATAATCGAGTATTGGGACTGGTATAAGCAAATATCTGCCTGATACTTCCGTTACTGCTCATATCTGTAAGTTCTTTTGCAATGTGAACTTGCTGACCCTCGTATCATTTTTCAGGGTCGTGCTAGAGAAGCCGGGGAAATAAACAAGAGTTTACTTACTCTAGGGCGTGTTATAAATGCATTGGTAGAACATTCCGCTCATATACCTTATAGGTTATGATCTCTCACTTGTTTATGCATTTTTGTTTGTTTATTCTATTCTTTCCAAGTATTTTGGTAGCTGATAAGCGACATTATTTGTCCATCAATATAGAGATAGCAAGTTGACGAGACTACTAAGAGATTCCTTGGGAGGAAAAACCAAAACTTGCATCATTGCAACAATCTCTCCATCTGGCCATTCCTTGGAGGAAACTTTGAGTACTCTTGATTATGCATATCGTGCTAAAAACATAAAAAATAAGCCCGAGGTGTGTCATAAATCTGTCTTGCTTCTTCAATAACATTTCAACCTATTGTCTCGTTGTTCTGATAAAAGAGTTTGTATTTGCAGGCAAACCAGAAAATATCCAAGACTGTTTTGCTCAAAGATCTGTTTTTAGAGATTGATCGAATGAAAGAAGGTGCTGATGAGATGTTCATATATTCTTGTGTAGCGAAAAGTTCTCGCAAAGCCAAACCTTATGCCGCTGTTCCTGTGGTAAACTGATGCAGATGTTCGAGCAGCGAGGGAAAGAAATGGTGTGTATGTTCCACATGATAGATTTGCCCAGGAAGAAGCAGAAAAGAAGGTAGAGTCTTATGGTAGATTCAGCATTTAAGTACTCTTATAACTGATTGTCGTTTCTTGATTGTTTATCTGGGTTTCTGAATTGCAGTATCTAGTTTGATTTAGCTTAATTGTGATTTGAGCAGTTAACAATCTCTTGCAGGCCAGGGCTCAGAAGATAGAACAATTGGAGATCGAGTTGAACCTCAATGAGAAGGTAAAAACATGTTCCTCACTTTCTCATCTCCTACATCAAAATGTGAGGTGTAATAGAATAGCTGACTTTCACTGGTTACAGGAAGTTGATAGGTTCCGTGAGCTCTATATGTCTGAGCAAGAAGAAAAACTTGAAGTGACAAGTGAGCTCAAGGATTGCAAGGTTCTTATTCTTCATGGTCTGTGGATGTCTCTACTTTAGTCAGATTGCCACGTCTCATCATGATGATTTTTTTTTGTTCTTCAGGTGAATCTAGAGAAGAGTAACAAGGACCTGTTAGATCTTCGAGAACAATATAGAGTCGCAATCTCGACATTAAAGGAAAAAGAGTTTATCATCTCTAAGCTTCTGTATTCAGGTGAGTGTACATGTGTGATTTTCCGCAATTTACCCCGTCTTATTATTGCCCCATTGTGCTGATGATGTTAGATTTTGAATGAACAGAAAATTCTTTAGTTGAAAGGGCAAAGGAGTTGCGGAATGGCTTGCAATCTGCTTCAGAAGATATTACTTCACTGTTCACAACATTAGGTACTGGATGAGTTTGATTGGCATGAATGACAATGTTGACCTCCAGCTCTAAGTTTCTCTTATGATCTCATTTTGAGAACGAAAGATTTATAGAAAACAACACTTTATTAACAGATCAGAAGGATCAGATGGAAACAGACAACCAGAGAATGGTTTTGAGATTTGGTTCTCAACTAGACCAGAGTTTGAAAGACCTGCACAGAACCATTCTAGGGTCAGTCTCTCAACAACAGCATCAAATGAGATGCACGGAAGAGCATGTCCAGTCGTTCCTTGCCAGCAAATTTGATGTAAGGATTTAACTTTTTCTTAAAATCTTTTCAAGAGTTCGAAGTTGTAGCTGATGGCACTGGTTTTGGTACCTGCCAGGCAACCAAGGCTTTGGAATCACGGATAAGGAAAATGGCAGATGCATATTCTTCAGGGATTGAATCCTTGAAGGAGTTTGCTAATGCTATGAAGGAGAACTCTTCTTCTGACCTGGAGCAGTTAAACGCCACAATCTCATCTCAAGTGTCTGCTATTGAACAGGTAAGATAGACAAACATGTGTAACTTAAATGGTGGTTTCAGTTAATTGCCTAGACTTAAGGAAAATTGTTGCATTCGATTTCTACAGTTGTTGGCGGTCACTGTATCAGAGGCCCAAAGTAGTGTTGAGGATATTCAGAATTCTCTACGTGAACAAGAACATATCTTATATATCTCCACTCAACAACAAGAGAAGGTAATGTCACTCGAATACATCACCTAATTGTCTCTCTGGTTTAAATGGTCGTCTGCACTTGAAGAAATGACATTTTTGCACATTATAGGGACTAGAAAGAAGCTTGAGACACACTCAAGTGATATCAAAAGCAACAATGGACTTCTTCGATGACATCAACGTTCAGGCGTCTAAAGTTATGAATGTTCTTGAAGAAAGCCAAACCAAACAATCTGATTGGTTAAACAATTTCCATCAGACTTTTCAAGTAAGCAGAAATCTGGAAGTACTTACTTTCTTTCCCTTTGACTGATGCATGGGCCTTCCGACAGATGTCTACTCTGTTGATACAGGAACAGACAGCGAGAGAGGAGAAACAAGCTCTGGAAGATATTACAAAAATACTAGGCAACATGACTTCTAGAAGAACAGCTCATGTAAGTCAATGTTTTTATTTATCCTTTTCATTATTCAGAAGAATGAAGGTGATGCTGACATTTCTAAGGCATTATTGTGCTTCAGGTCATGGAGGCATCCAGGAGCATGCAAGGCATGAGAACAGATGAACATAAGAAAATGCAACAAGAGATGAGCTACATTCATCAGGCCTCATCAGATGCTAATAAGGAGTTGAGGAGACATGCGGAAGAAGTGAAGAGAAACTTCATGGCTCACTCATTTTCAGTGGCCGAGTCAAGGGTAGTCATGGAAACCGTCCTCCAAGAATGGTACATAAATTCAGCCTTGTTTGATTGAATACTAAATAAGAACATAGTTAAGAACGAGAAAGAAAATAAAATGCATTCATAACATTCTTCCTTTTTACCAGTTTCCCTAAACTAAGACAATTTTTTTTGTTTACCCTCGATTGATCACGGTGCAGTTCGGATAAGGTGAACCGGTCTAAGGAGCAGTTGGAAAATGCGCAATCAAAAGTAAGCGATCTCAATCGAAGCAGTGCTCTGGTAGTAGAAGCTGCTGTGAGGTGAGAGTTAGTTCCTTTCTTGCCTGGGAACCTCTTCCTATTTGCGCCACTGGCTGAATAACATACTACTCTTGTATGCAGAGAAAAAATCAGCATCAACAACGTTGCACAGCAGCAATTTCTGTCAGCATCCTCAGCTGTTGACGAAGAATTTTGTGGCAGGACAGTTGATGTTATGGCAGCAGTGGAAGGTAAAATACATATATTAAAAATCCGTAGGAATATCGCATTAATGTTCGATCTGCAAACTGACTAAACTGTATGGAACTGTGCGAGTTAGATTCCCTGACGAGAGATCAGGAGAGTACGAAGGAGATGGATGCCATGGCAACGTTGTGCATGAATCAGCTGAAGACCATACAAGAGAAGCACGGCGAAAGCATAGCAAGCATCAGGAGCAAAGCAGACAAGTGTCTGACCCAAGATTATGAGGTCGACGAGGACACAAGCTCGAGGCCTGAAAGGAGGGTCATTTCTGTGCCTAGCATGTCCTCCATTGAGAAGATGAGAATGTCGTTCCCAGCGGCCGCAAATGGAAGTGTGGAAGAAGAAGAAGAGAATGTGGGGTACAGATTGTCGTCAAAATGGAGCCATCATCATCATCATCAGATGACTGAGAGCAAGAACCCGCAACTGGTTCATAGTAGTAGAGCTCCTCTTGGTGATGTCAACTGAGAAGGGGAAGAAAGGTAAAGGGCAGCTGGCAAGATGTAGAATTACTTGCTGAGTATCCCTCACTTCTTGATGTATGCCTCGCTTAGCTCATCAACTGATGAGCTCCTTGAAGAAGCAGGCTTTAGATATATATATATATAGCTGAATGACTTGTACTTGAAATTATTAATCACATTATTAGTGTTCCCTTGGATAAAAGGAAGCTTCTTCTTAAGCTTTTGTGGAAGTGAGTTCGGTATTTTGTTGTGAACTGGATCACATGTTTCTACATGATTTCTGAGCAAGGCATGCAGGGGAGAAGTTAAGTTACTCATCTGCTCTTCGCGGACGAGACTCTGATATACTTTGATGCTTCTTGCGATCAAGTGGTAAATGCCTTGATTACTTTTGTGTGCTTTTAGACGGTGACTGGGCTGAAGATTAACTTAGATAAGTCCACCATGTCCACGGTGGGAGACATCCCTAAGCCTAGGTTTTATGCTGATGTGATAGCAAAAGCACTCAAGCTCGACACTTTTGAGTTGTTTAGAGGCAGAGCAGGAGTAGTCGAGACAAGTGAACGTGTTTTTGCAGATTGAAGTTTGAACTGAAGCTGAGTTAACTGACTTCTGTTCAAGGAGAGAATTTGTTTGCCAGGTTCGAACCCGGATAGTCTAGAAGGAAGCGGGAAGACAAAATTCAAATAAGGCTGTTGTGGCCAAGTTGTGTCAATTTGGTTATCTGTGTTTTTGTTCTTTAGCTATGTATATTGTGTCATATCAGTTCATTTCGAGTTTTCAAGGGTTGTTGGAATTTGGAAGTCCAAGTCCATTGGTTTGTTAACTTGATTAGCTAATTAATGCTTAGCCAGAATCAATAATTAGGAGGTTGGTGGAGCCCGCAGCTACAGGCTGAAGCTCTGTATTTGGTATTCCAAAAGTTCATTCAGTAAATTTTTGTCAGTTACTTTGGCCACAAAAAGTGTTCCATCAATGTTTAGCCACTTAGCTGCATGCATTACGAGAACTTATGGTTGAAGTTATGTGAACATTTGGTGAGATCAGCTGTAAGAAAAATGCAAGTTTGGTTGGTGAATGGTGAGCAGGGTTGACAAGAGACCTGCAGGCAGCTTACTGCTAAACTAGGAATGAAACCCAACCCGGAGTCCTGCAGCCTACTGCTAAACTAGGAAAGAAGAAGAAAAGTGTTTGGTTTTGACCAATAAAATTGCACCTACTGTTTGTTTTTCTTTTGTGACTTTTTATTAGTCAAAGTAGATTTTAGGCGGTTTGGCTGATGGATTTTGCAATTGAAGCTTATCAATGATATATGGTTCATGAAATTCATTCTTTGAATGATTTTTTTATATATATGAAAATGGGTTTGAACTTTATAGCATCACACTTCTATCTTAATAATTAGTGAAACGAACGACAAAGCGTTGACAAAATCAAACGATGTCTAATTATGAACATCAAAGTCAAATACATGAAAACCAAGTGGCAACGAGTGCCCCTTATAAACTAATGGACAGATTTGGAAACTACAACTTGGAGTGATAATATCTTGGCATAAGTGATCAGTTATTTATATATTTTCCTCTGTTTTCAAAACCGAACTGGAAGTTGAACTGAAAAAGTTAGTGGTTTAGCGTTCAATGGTTAATCGTTACAAAATCGTTGGTAAATCTTTGATAGGACCCTTCATGATACAAAACTTGTGTATTATAATAATTTAAGAATGAAGTTATCATTGACCATACACAATTTTAAATTCATATCATCACCAAAATATCTAATAAATCATTCAAACAGTCTCACAAAAGAAATCTGTTTTTTTTAATTCAAGTTAAAAATTATGGTGCCAGTTGGTAGCGGACCACATAAAAACGACAATAAGGTTGGAAAATGAGAAGAGAAATCATATATAAAATTAATAATATGACTTGATGGTCTTAGTTAACTTTAAAATATTTTTTAAAAAACTTTTGTGGTTAAAATAGTGAACCAGTGGACCAGTTAAACCGTGGTGGTTCTTCTGGTTTTATGATGAACCATGAAAATCGTTTGGTCCATCAATAACCGTCAAAGCAATGAACCGGACCGCTATCATAACTGGTTTGACAATTCTACTAGTTCAGCCGTTGATCCGATTTGGTTCTTATAACAATGATATTTTTTACACATATTATCCGTGCTAGTATTCACTCAATATTCTCTGAATACTCGTGTTTCTGTGTTCAATCACCCATTAAAGTTTTCTAGAGCCTTTTCTTACAAAACTCATTTAATCAACCACAAAGAAATGATGAACATGGTAAAGGTGTATGTTTGGATTAATTATTAATTTATTATAACTCTTTCAACCATTGTTGTTTGTTTCTAAGCAGCAGAGGACCCGCAGAGCAACTGCTGCAAAAAAAACTTTGCTCTATGTTTGAGTGCTAATCCATGGACATATATTTGTTTTTGTCAAATATCCTCATTAATTGGTTAAATGTGCTACATGCAATCAGATTTATAGTAATTAGTATTGAATTAAGCTGGTCTCTACTAGCATTTATATATGTGATCGATTCATTTGTTCTTTATCATCTGCTATGTTTACTTATTTTTAAATAGGTCATCATGTGATGTGGATTTATGGTGAATGAAGATGCAGGTTGCAGAAACTTGATGAACCGAGGTTTGAAGTTGCTTGGAGAAATGGGGATGTAAATTGGAAGAGTCTAGATTTTAGGAATGTCCAAATGAAGCTTGAGAATTGCAGCAGTGTTTGATCTTTTGTTTTTTTGTTTTTTTCCTTTTAGCTTCAGTTTAGAACAATTGTTCGTTCAAATTTGCAAGTATTTTTATATTTGTTTTGAATTTGAGTTAAAATGGGATGAATGGTGAATGATTCAATTATATACATGTTTTATTGTATGAAAAGCATGGGGCAGAGCGGGTTTGACCCGCCCCGTACAGGGCAGGGCATGGGTCATGTTTTCATAATCCGTGGCAGGTTATGGGGCGGGGCGGGGTGAAAATCAAATGGGCAGGGCAGGTCCGGGTATCACACTACCCGACCTGTTATGGACCCATTGCCATCCCTACTACCATCTGGTATCTGGTAGCGGTAGCGTACCACTATCATTTGGTACCACTACCATTTGATACCTGGTATTGGTACGCTACCGCTAGCAACTACAAGATGGTAGTTGTAGCGTACCACTCCACATAGTACCACTACCACTAGAAAAAAATCAGATATAAAAATCCAAAAATCTCAGATCTGAAAAACGAAGGGGAGGAGAAGAGATGAGGCACGGAGAGGCAGAGGGACTCACACGAAGAAGAGATTTGAAAAACGAAGAGATGAGGCAACGACAAGGGTGGAGGGCGCCGAAGGATTGTAGAAGACAGCCGCGACGGGAGGGTGGAGGGCGGTGGAGGTTGTGGAGGGAGGCCGAGGCCGGCGGCGATTGTGGTGGCCGGCGACAACAGTGAAGGCCGGGAGCAGTCACGTCTGATAAAGAGATGGATGAGAGAGAGAGGGAGGAGTTAGATTTTTTCTTCATTTAAGCCGTATTTGGATATCATGGCGGCAGGAGGCTTTGGGACAAGGCGAGACGAATACATCATTCTTTGTAACGAATCATGCGTTCCTATTTCGTTGGAATTTTACTTCTACCTTGAATAGGTGGGAATAATGAAATATTCCAAGATCACAAAAAAAAAAACGAACTGTTTAATTCAAAGCAGGTATCTTTGAGTTGAAAATCCATTGTGCATAGTTTTACAGTTCACGACTAAGCATACGATAAAAGCATTGTCATTTGAAGACCTAATACAACCAACCATTTTAGGGATAAGAGTTTTACCTTAGTCAAGTTATATGAAATTTTGGTAATTTCCCATGCACATCAATGAGGATTTAACAACAAATTAAAATGGTGGGAGTAGGAAATTTATAGATGATAAAATGAAGTTGAGAGGTTTAGTTGAAAGAACTCATAATTTAAGGGTGCGTTTGGATACTAGGATTTGGATTTGGTATTTGTGATTTGGATTTTCAAATACCAAATCATGTGTTTGGATATTAATTACATTTGGTATTTGGATTTGTGTCAAATTCATGGGGTGATTTCCAAATACATGTCTAGTGTATTTTTTGTCAACTTCAAATACATTTCAACAACTAGTGATTTGAAATACCTCCTAACAAAAGAATGGACCTATTTGTAAAATATGAAAAGTTTAGGTACTATAGTGTGAGGCAAAACATATAAAGGTACCAAAATGTAATTTTACCATCAAAATTTCAGGACCTTTTTTAAAATTTTAGAAGTTTAGGTACTAAATTGTAAGAACAAATAATTTTGGGTACCAAACTGTAATTTACCAAAATTTGTAGTAAGTGACCAGAAAATTAAAAATTGAAATTGAAAATCATAAATACAAAAATACAAACAAATTACAAATGAGTATCCAAACAATGAATTTGAATTACATGTATTTCAAATGCTAATACTTCAAATACATCCATTTCAAATGCTAGTATTTCAAATACCTTACATTTAAAATACACTTATCCAAACGCACCCTAAGAGCATTTCAATTACCGAACATTTTACGGAGAACTAACCGAAAGAATTAGGCTATGAGAAGCTTAAAATTTAAGGAACGTGTGTAGAAAATAATATTGAGGGACTTAGGTAAAAAAAAAAAACAGAATTCATTCGTTTAAATATCCTTCTATTTAATACCACTTTTGCACCAATGGGAGACCAGTCTCCAGTTTTTTTGCAGTCATAATCTCGTGCACCGCATTGTGGGAACTTAGGTTACCTAATTCGTCTATCCAACCTCACCGCTCCCGCTCTAAAGCGCCAATTCGCGAATTTCCCGCAGATCGTACAAAATTCACGAATTGTATTTCACGGGAGCGCGAATTATTTTCAGAAGAACGCGAATCGTCAACGAACTAATCTCTTTTTTCTAAAACATGAAAGCAGGAACTATAAATTAGAATCGAAAGCTTGATTTGGTATGAAACCTAAGAAATCCAACAACAAAATATATGCGAAGACATCGCTGATGGATGAGAGTGGCTGTCTGGCCGACGAAGTGAGAAAGAATGATGGCAACCAATTCAAAGGCTAATCATCTTAGCAAAGATCGGGAGAATCATAGTTGAAATTGGAAAGAACAAGAGTACAGAACAAAGAGACAGAGGCCTTTGTTCAATCACCTTCCTCACCGGCACCATGCATTCACAGCCTGCCGATTTCGTCGTTCTTCTTCTGCCCATAAAATTAGTCACAATACGAGCCCAATCGTTCGATTAATTTACCTGTTTTAGTATTAGGGTAAATGAAGAAGCATCTACCGCTTGCATGGAGACTGGAGAGTGAGACTCTGCGAAAGAAACTTTGGGGAAAACAGAGGGAATTGCTTCCTCTGTGTTGGGGAATAAAGATTGAAGAGAAAGATGGAGTTGGGTTAGGTCATAGGTGGCTGCCCGTATGTGTGAGAGAGAGTAAAGGGCATAAGAAATAAAAAGGAAAATATAAATAAATATATTAAACAAATGAATAAAATAATAATAACTTTCTCCTATAAAATACTAATATAATAACATATTTTAAATTTCCTTTCTTAACACTAATGGTATTGGAGATAATTTTACCCGTGAATTATTTATTCATTTGAAACTAATATGTATTAAAATTTTAATAAAAATAATATAATAATCACGCTCCGTACACGCTCTCAATATCTAATTCTCCTGAAATAGACGCTTTCACGCTCCCGCTCTCGCTCTCGCTCCCGCTCCGCGAACTGGTTACCTAAGTGGGAACTAGGTAGGAACAGACATTCATGACCTTTTTAAAGTCCAGTCCTCCTTTCATATCATTGAACCTGGCCCTATCTTTTTTTGTCTTCCCTTTTAATCGATTGGTAATATGTGTCCCGATTAATCGATTTTATTTTATTTTCCCAAAATATGTAGAAGTAGATGTAGTTTTGAAAATCACGAATAATATAATTTTTTTATGAAAAAAATTCAAATTAATACACTAGAGATTGAAGTCTGTATAGAATTTTATCAATATGAAACGATTGAATCTCAATCAGACCATAAAATATCATATTACTAACTTATCCTAGATAACCTTGGATATGCTTTTACAATCCGAATTAAAATTTAAACCGTACTTTTCTTTCTTGGTTGGGTTTTTCAAAGGGTAAATGCCACATTTGGTCACTGAGATTACTAAATCGTTTCATGTATAGTCACTAGAAAATTTTAATATCAATTTTGGTCACTCGAATTACTGAAACATGTCACATTTGGCCACTCTTCTGTAGCCTCTGGCCAACTCCGGTCACTCGAATTACTGAAACATGTCACATTTAGTCACTCGAATTACTGAAACATGTCACATTTATTCACTCTCCCGTTAGTTTCCGTCAAACTCCATTAAACGGGAGATTGACTAAATGTGACCAGTTTCAGTAATTCAAGTGACCAAAATCGATATTAAAATTTTCTAGTGACTAAACATGCCACAATTTAGTAATCTTAGTGACCAAATGTGGCATTTACCCATTTTTCAAATATTGAGTACCTCCCCACTCACGTATAGGGATGGCAATTTCGATCTGACCCGTTTTACCCGATCTGTTTGGCCTACTTTGGAGCGGGTCTGACCTGCCACGTAGGCGGGGCGGGGCGGGCATGGGTACTCTCATCGACCCGACCTGCCCTGACCCGCCCCATTCTCAACCCGTTCTTGTCTAAATTACATGTAATCTTAGTCAAATTACTTAGAAACTTTCTTTTATTACATCATAATTTAGCTATAATAAAGTTGTAAATTGGTGAAAACCTCAATTTCTCTAGTAATTTAACTACATTTATCATAATATTGTATGTTTTCTTGGTCTTATAATAAAAATAACCAATGTTTCTAATGTTTTTCATATAAATTGCATACCGATTGGGTCGACCTGTCCCGACCTGCGACCCGTGATAAATTACCCAACTTGAATCCGACCTGTCACAGAACGGATCTGGATACCAAAAAACCCGGCCCGGACCTGCCTATTACCATTCCTACTCACGTCTCGCTCTCGCCGCCACCACTTGTTCACTCGCGCTCCACCGAACCTTCCACTCTCTATCCGTTATTCCGTCTACCCGTTAACCTCGTTCCTTTTTATCACATTTCCATCACTGCTGACGTCACCGCTTAGTAGGCAAAGTCAAAACGCAACCCAAAAACCAACCAGACGAGTCAAAGCAATGAAAAACTCAACGCTTGGGTTAACCAGTCAGTCAAACCTCTCCACCTCCTTCTGCGCTTATAAAATACCAACTCCCAGGCACCATCCAACTTCCATTCCCACATTTCCAACGACAACAAAACTCAACTTCCCAACAAGAAAAAAAAAAAAAACTTCTCAATCAACAATCTTCATCTAGCAATAATTTCCTTCCATGGCCGTGAAGAGAAGCAGAGAAGTGGAGACGTTAGACATGGCGAAATGTCTAATCTACCTCTCCCACGGTCTTAACACCGTTAATTCCACTTCCAATCCTTCCCCCGCCGCATTCGAATGCAAGACCTGCAACCGGAAGTTCCCGTCCTTCCAAGCTCTGGGAGGCCACCGGGCCAGCCACAAGAGGCCCAAGAATTTACTGGGCTTGGGCCACAACGCAGCGCTCAACTTAGCATCCACGAAGCCCAAGGTGCACGAGTGCTCCATTTGCGGGGTCGAGTTTGCGATGGGCCAGGCTTTGGGCGGTCACATGCGGAGGCACCGAGCAGCCGCCGCCGCCGCCGCCGCCGCGAGTGGCGGCTTCGGTCCCGTTGCCGCCGTGGCTCCTAAGTCGGAGGGTGGAAACTTGAGCAAGGTGCTGCCGGTGCTTAGGAGGACGGGGAGTTGCAAACGCGTGTTTGGGCTGGATTTGAACTTGTCGCCGTTGGAGAACGACTTGCAGTATTTGTTTGGGACGATGGCTCCTAAAGTTTCCATTATTTGATCTTTCTCTTCCGATTCTTTTTCACATTAATTTCTTGTAGCCTGTACATGTACAAATGATTGATTCATTGATGTGTATACTCTAGCCCATTTCCTGGTCTTGTAAAAATCATACATACACTTTCAGCGAGATTTAATATTATGTTATGAGTTTTGGTCCGGAAATCATCGGAGATTCCTCAACAATTGGTGAAAATTCGCCACAAGGAAGAAAACTCACATAAATCATGTAGCGTGATCAATAAGTGACGGGAAAATATAAGAAATTGAGATGAGAAGTTATAGGTGATGGACCCAAAAAATTTGTGCGAAGTAAATCAAGTGGATTATAATAAACTATTGTACTAGAAATATGTGAATTTTGAGAAACCAACATGAACACGTTCATGATTATGGCTGGAAACAATATGAACCAACAGTACAAAAAAGAGGAGGTTTGGGGACCACAAAAATCAGTCCTCGGTAGGTAAAATTGTCCCCATAAATATCGGGGATGACTAAGTTGTCCCTAATGTTTGGTGTCTTATACGCTTGTCCTCTATTGTTTTGGGGACGACAAAAATCTAGGTTGTTCCCAAAACTAGGGATGACAGTAGTCCCAGATGCTCACGAGCTGTCATCTCGTTCTTTTTCATAAAAGTCACCATGTCGTCCCTATAGCCATGACTTCGGTGACAATAAGTCGTCTCCTAAACATAATTTCTAGGGACAATGTTGTACCCTATAATCCATTTCATGAAAGTGTTGTGAGTTTCTGGGGATGATTTGATGTCCGTTTTCACTGTATAGGGTTGACATGTCGTCCCCATAAGTGTCAAATGGGAGTCAATAGATCATCCCAAAAATTTTATTTAAGGACAATAAGTGGTCGTTATACTATATCTCTAGAGACAACAAGTTGTCACCTTTTTCACTTTTAGGGATGAAGAATTGTCTCTTAATTTTGTCATAGGGGACAACCAATTGTCACTTATGTAATGTATGGGGACGACAAGTGGTCATCTAACTTGTGTCTTATTAGAGGAGACTATATGATTATCAAAACTGAATCATTTTATGACAACGCCTATATCACATATAATTTTAAATATTTGTTGACGCAACATCTTTTGAGTACGAAGAAAGAAACTTAAATATCTATATCGGAAAATGCAATTGATTATAGAAAGTACACCAACAACTAGCCAACATTCTAGTGAAAAAAATTAAACAGAGTGAATAATATAATAAGTTAATGTATTTAAATAAAAATGAAACTACAGAAAATATTACTACCGTACATTGAACCATGAAATAAATAAGAATTTCATCAATCCTAAAAAATCTTCAAGGAAAATTATCTTAAAATATTTTTATCTAAAAAAATGTCAGGATGCAAAAATCCTAGGGATGAAAATAGGTCGTGTTGGGGCGAATAGTGCATATCCATTAACTTACCAAAAAGTAGTTCGAGTTTTACCTCTGTTTTCAGAGTCAGGCCAGACGCTGAACCGAAAATTTTAGTTGTTTGGAGTTCAGTGATTAATCGTTACAAAACCGTTGGTGAACCGTTGATAGTACCATTTATGATATATAACATATAAGACTTGTATAATACGCTAATTTAAAATGACATTATCATTGATCATAAACAATTTCAAATTCATATCATCACCAAAATAGCTAACAAATCATTCAAACCGTCGGACAAAAGAAATCATAATTTTTTTAATTCAAGTTAAAAATTATGGTGTCAGTCGATGCTGAACCACATAAAATCGACAACGAGGTTGAAAAATGAGAAGAGGAAGCATAAATAAAACTAATAATTCTGATTTTATGGTCTTAGTTCACGTTAAAATATAATTATTAATTTCATAGTTAAAATAATGAACTAGTGGGCTGGTTAAACCGTGGTTGTTCATCTAGTTATATGTTGAACCGTGAAAAATTGTTTGGTCCATCAATAACCGTCTAAGCAATGGATCTGATCGCTATCATAACTGGTTTGGAGGTTCTACTGGCCGAGCCGTTGATCCGGTTCGGTTGTTATAACAATGAGTTTCATCCATACCCGCATAAGAATCGGGTCGAAAATCAAAACCATGCTATAACCGTTCCGATTTTGGGTATCCATCGTTATCAATGGGTAATAATATCTCTTTATAATTTCAACCATCACGTTAACATTCACACGTATACTCATATTAAATAAGAAGAAAAGTCAAAAGTACGATAATAAATCACTAGAGCGAAGAAAAATTATTAAAACAAACACAATTTCATTTTCATTATAATTGAATGCTATATATAAAATATGTTGAGAAAATAATGAGCATTTCTAAACAAAATATATATGCATGTGTATAATCGGGTGGGTTCAGGTTGGATAGTGAGAAAATCATGCATGCCCATTACCCGTAGTTGGACCTAGCAAATTACAGCCCGACCCGTTAACCCGACCCAAACCCGCCTGAAAAATAGAATTTTTACAACCCGAAATCCGAATTACCCGAATCATATTAACCTGTGATTTTTTGGGTCTGGTTGGGTGGGTTAGCGGGTCGACCCGTTAGATCCGTTACATTTTATATGTACTCCCAAAATGATAAAATCACTCACAAATTGGTGAGATTTTGAAAAAAAATTACAAGGATTTGAAAGACATTTTTAAGTTTAAGGGTAATCAAACATCATGTGTTTCTTGTAGTAATATTACGCTTGTGATTGTTTTTTGACGATTTGTGAAAATTTGTAGTAATCAAACTATTGCCATGAATATCTGAAAATTTGTGTTCTTTAAAAAGAATATGAAGTATGTTTGATATTGTTTCTGATAACGCTCATAATCCGAAACGACATGTAACCCGATCCAAAACTGAATTGGTTGGGTCAATATTTGACCCGAAATCAATCAACACAAACTGACCCGACTCGTAACCCTATGTAGTGACGATGTCCCAACCCGACCAGATTGTCAGGTCCCCGTACGTAGTATTCGCGTTCGGATTATAACTATACAACTATACCCACTAAAAACACGTGTGCTCCTCGTTAGTATATTTGACATTTCTAGGTTATGCACGCAGTTAATTACTGCTCACCAGAACCCCCCTCGTCTTTATTGGACTATTTTCTTACCGGCGCGCCAATGTGAAGTTTCTGGGAACACATGCAAAATCCTAAAATATACAGCAATATATAGCTCGCCACTCGTGACTGTGACTCAGTCCATCTCCAATTCTCCATTCATATTATTATACTTCTCTTCTGTTCCCGCCGCCACCTCTTCGTCCCCAGACTCCGAACCTTCCATTGTTCTCCCTCCGGCGACTTACTTTACCCGTTACAAGCTTCGCTTCAGCTTCTTCCATCACCACTAAACGTCACCGTTTTTTCACCTCCCTCTCCCTCTCCCACCTTCCATTTAGTTTTTCCAACTCCCACGGGGTATCATCCTGATCAAAAAAGAAGAGTCAACAAGTTGCAAAACACGAAAAACTCAACGCCTTCCCACCAGTCAAACCCTCTCAACTCCTTTTTCGCCTTTACGTATAAATCAATACCCTATATAGCTTCCACCCTCCAACTCGCTTCCAGCCTTCCATATCTCCCATTTCTTCACGTAGTTATTCTCATTCGATCACATTTCAACACCAATATTCCGTCAATGGCCGTGAAAAGAAGCTGCGGAGTGGCAGAACCAGAGACGTTCGACATGGCGAAATGTCTGGTCTACCTCTCCCACGGTCTTAACACCGTTAATTCCACTTCCAATCCTTCCCCCGCTGCCGCATTCGAATGCAAGACCTGCAACCGGACCTTCCCGTCCTTCCAAGCTCTGGGGGGCCATCGGGCCAGCCACGGGAGGCCCAAGAATTTACTGGGCTTGGGCCGCAACGCGGCGTTCAAGCTGGCATCGAGGAAGCCCAAAATGCACGAGTGCTCCATCTGCGGGGTCGAGTTTGCGTTGGGCCAGGCTTTGGGCGGTCACATGCGGAGGCACCGAGCAGCTCCGGTGGCCACCAAGAGCTTTGGTGGTGACGTGGCTCCGTCTTTGGTGGTGGGACCGGGATCGAACGAGGTGGCTGTGCTGCTGAGGAGGTCGAGTAGTAGTAAACGCGTCTTCTTTGGGCTGGATTTGAATCTGACGCCGTTGCAGAACGACTTGGAGTATTTGCTTGGGAAAATTAGGGCTCCCAAAGCCTCCATTTGATCCTTCTGCCAAACTCTCTTCATAATTTTTATTATTATCTTTCTTATAATTTACCCCTCACAAATACATTTGTTTGTGTTCCTTGATTAAATTACACTTTTAATTTATTAGCACATTTTGTAAATTGCTTAGCCAAAACTTTGATGTATTGTGAAGATGAATATTAAGTTGGTCTGAGGAACTTATTTGGTTTAATAATAAGTGAAAGATAGCACAAGATTTGACGACTTTCACAAGATACATTTGTTTACGCTTCAAATAATTAAAGTGTTATAAATTCTGCGTGGGTAATTCTAGGTGATTTTAATGCCATAGGGGATTTTAGTGAGGCTTTCAAATTCTTCTGAGTTCTCTAGTAGTGTTGAAGATTTCCATAGGTTCTAGCATTGTCTAGTCCTTCTATAGGTTCCTTAGACGAGGAGAGTAAAATCAAAAGAGCTTAAAGACCTGAAAACTTTAGAGGAGTCTTTCTTGAGGCAAAAATCCAGAGAAACCTGGCTTAAACAAGGAGAATATAACACCCCTTACTTTCATTGATCAGTCAAAGTTCGTCAACAAAGGAACAAAATTAGGTATTTGATTGATGAACATGATAATAGAGTCACATATACAAATACCTTGATTGAGATAACCGTTAGTTTTTACAAAAACCTGCTAGGTGAATTAGATCCTTCGGTTTAATAAGAAACAATGGAGTTTTATAGAGGTATTTTGGAAATAAAGTTAACTCCTCCTGAAGTGATACGATTCGCGTGATCGAGCTTTAAGTTTTAGTAACTTCAGTGACCAAACTTGCAATTTACTCCTTTCTTTTGAGCGTAGGCGGAGCTAGGGCATTTTGCCTTTGTCCAGGACGGGTAATTTTTGGTAGGAAAAGAAATACCCACATATGCTTGAACTAAGAATTGGACACAACATACATAAGGATATTTTGACACTACATTACAATTCATTACATGTTTATGTTTATTGATTGATAAAAAAATAATTAATTTATTTGTTTCATTCATAACACTATTATTCGACAACAACTTTGGTATTATCATGATGTTATGGTTGATAAGTGATTTGATGAATTGAAAGGAATTGATGAATTATCTCGGATAATGGTGTAGACAAAAGTGCATACGTCATATCCGTTAGTTTATTTGCTTCTGAAACTAGTTTTGATTCTACCATTTGCCACTGTAAGTGTAGAAATATCATTTTTAGCTTGAGCTATATTAAGAACAAGTTTCAAAGTCAAATTGGCGATTAGTTTGCTAATGATCGTTTAGTGAGATACATTGAAATAGACTTACTTTAGAGTGTAGACAACGAATGTATTTTGCATCTTTTTTTAATATGAAAACTCGTCGTGGCTGTTTATGAAAATAATGATTTTATTAGTTGATATTTATTTATTTTTGAATGATTTATTTGGGTATTATTAATTTTAATGATTTATATTAAGAAAAAAGGACAAGGCCAGTCTCAAATCGCGCCTCCGCCGCTACTTTTGTGAAAGGCCTTATGATTGGGCTGTCGACCATAAAGTAGAAAGGCTTTAAGTGCTTTCATGTTGAGCTTTGTCCTTGAATTTTTTGGGCTTGTGGACAATATAATGTAGTCCAAGCTGTGTTTTCAGAACCGGACCGAAGGCTGAACCGGAAACATTAGTGGTTTAGGGTTCAGCGATTAACCGTTATAAAATCGTTGGTGAACCGTTGATAGAACCGTTCATGATATATAACATATAAGACTTGTATATTACACTAATTTAAAAAGAAAATTATCAATGACCATAAACAAGTTCAAATTCATATCATCACCAAAATATCTAATAAATCATTCAAACCATCTCACAAAAGAAACCACATTTTGTTAATTCAAATTAAAAATTACAGTTCTAATCGGTAGTAGTAGGGGTGGGCAATGGGAAACGGGTATTTGGGTATACCCGTACCCGTCCCGTTTTTTAAGGGTTATGGGTACCCATATTACCCATAATATTATAAACGGATGGGACTTGGGATTGAACATTCCTAATATGGGTACCCGCGGGTTACCCGCGAATACCCGTTTGGGTAATATCGGTACCCGTTATACCCATTCAATACAAATGCAGAAATTTAATTCAGACCAACCCAATTCAAAATCCATTGGCCATTTCGGCCCTTACCCTTTCAATTTCAATTCCATTTGGGCCCTTACCCTTTCACTCTTTCACTGACATGTTTGATGATTTTTTTTTTATAATTTGATACTTGGAATGATTTATTTCTATGTGTTGTGATTGTCCATGAATGTGTAATTTGCAAACCAAGTATTTGTGATTGGGATGTATTTTGTGTATTGTGATTGTTAAGCAAATACAAGTTAAGTTTAAACTTTTGTTAAAAATTTTCGTGGTTTAAACTTTGGGTATTTATGGGTAGTATGGGTACCCGTTATCCGTCCCGTACGGGTAATGGGTACCCGTTTCCCATATGAGTTTGGGATATGGGATGGACTTTGGTCTCCAAATGGGACTGGGTACCCGTTTAAAACGGGACGGGTATCCCGTCCCGTCCCGTTGCCCACCCCTAGGTAGTAGACAATGTAAAGTCGACCAGTTAAAGCATTTTTTTTTGTTAAAATAGTGAGCCAGTGGACCAGTTAAATCGTGTTGGTTCATCTGATTTTATGTTGAACCGTAAAAAGCCGTTAGGTCCATCAATAACTGTTCAAGCAATGAACCGGACCGCTATCGTAACTGGTTTGACGGTTCTACTGGCCCGGCCGTTGATCCGGTTCGGTTCTTATAACAATGAGTCCAAGTGTCCAACAACGAAAGGGCAGAAAAAAAGGAAAGGTAATTTTATTTATTATAAGACCAAAATAACCCTCCCATTGGATCTATTTTCCACCGGCCATTGGATCTGACTGCACCATTCCTCCTGCAACTGGGAATAAATAGAATCAACCGATCGACCTGAATGTTTGTTTTCTACCGATCGGCCTGAAAGATGAATGAAGACTTTTGGTGTTTCAACGAATGCATGCATGCATGGAATATTACAAAAGTTGCTTTCTTTTACAAGTTGATAGGATAGGTTGTGTTTAGAAAAAAAATACATGACCCATGTAGATTACGACAGAGGAAGTGAAATAAAAAAAAAAAATTACAAAAAGGAAACTTGCAAGCAAGTGAATCTAACAATTTATTCAAGCAGGTGAGATACAAATGATTTGTCCAAAATTTTAAATTGAATTTCACAAACATATTTTGCATTCGTATGATGAATTTGCTTTGGACTAAGTTTGTATGGATTTTTTTGGTCACCTTCTCAAAATGAATTGCACCTCAACAACTGTTTATTAGGCCTGGAAATGATCGCTGGGGAAAGAGGGAGAGAGTGTAAGAAGGTGGGTTCCTCAGAAAGGGAACGTCTAAATTAGGTACAAAAGTTAATTTATATTGAAAATTAGGACGCGTCTAATTGAGAATAGTTGATTAAGAGGTTTTGTGTTTGAATTTTGGTGACCACATTGGTTAAACGCATGGTATTCATATTTGTGTAAAGTTAAATTTCATATAAGTTGACTTTCTTATGAGGGGATGTGTTGGTAAATGCCAATGGTATAAGATATATTATTGAACATCTCGTAACAACTCAAGTTATTTATACTAAACGGTACTTAAAAAAGAATACCATTTCTAAAGCGAAAGACTAATTAAATTATGAATAATTATAAAGATTCATTTTTAAATGCATCTCAATAATTTGAGTTATTGATACTAAACAGTTATTGAAAAAGAACACCGAGCGTCTAACTAAGCCATCAATAAATATTCGGTACACAAAGGGATATATTCTCGATAGTTTCGATGTATCTTAATGCACCAAAATTTTCCAAATATAAGATTATATCATGAATGATTAAGAAAGTTAACAAAAGCTATATTATCATGTGTATATTTTCAAGTAGACCCTGTACACTAAGCGAAATCATGACTACACCTCTAATGATCACAAGTATCGTGATTTGTCACGTTATTTCAATCACGCATCGATTTGTTCTGGAAAGCCTTTTTTAAAAACCTCATACTAATAGTCACTAATGAAAACTTTCCCTTATTTTTACGTGGTAGTTCAATTGTTCCCAACAAATCTAACTTTTGATATGTGTAATAAAATTACCATAAATTTCATTTTGGAACCTCTTGGCAACTGGGATAATCAAAAGAATTGCATGTTTCAATATCACTGCATCCGGGATCCAGCTTGTAATGCTATATAGCTAGCCCCAACCTCTAGTTTTATTTTATTCGATTTTTCGGCACTAACTTCTTTTTGGAGCTAATGGAGCCATAATGTTGCACGATTGCATCAAGCAGCTTAATTGCAAGGCATGCATCCAGCTTCCGCTAATTTTTGTTGTTGGTTTGCACGTCTTCGGTTTAATTATATATATTGCCTGTCTGTCTCGCTCACATGGTTTTGAAGAGCGCACAAAAGCCCATATTATTCAATTGTTGTTAGTAAACGGTATATGATCCACAATTGAACCTCTCTCAAAAGCTCGAGTTATTGGGATCAACTGGTCCTTGACGTCCTTAGCGTTGGCGTCGTGATCGAGCACTCATGGTAATCGTCATCGTTTACTAATTCAGGGGTTCAAATGAACGAGTCACGACGTTTTAGCTTGCGACGTAATTAGTTCTATTTTCTACCACACGTTGGATCCGACTCCACCCTTCTGCTCTCAACTAGAAATAAAAGAATAAACTGACACGAGTGTTTGTTTTCTACTGACATGTGATATCATCTGAAGATGAAACATTTGGGTTTTTAACCAATGCATGCATATGCAAGTAAGTAATATTACAAAAAAGTTGCTTTCCACGTACAAGTTGGTAGTATTAGGTTGTGTACAAACAATACATGCGTCGTGTACATTACAACAGATCGGAGGAAGTCAAATAACAAAATAGAAAATACTAGTTTCAATAACTCGAGTTATTAATATAGGTCCAT